AGGAGGAAAGTTTTTGAGACGGAGTCAGCTTCTGCTGCGGTCGACTTAGAGCACCCGAGAGTAACCCAACTTATTACGATGCTGGAGCTGCTCGAGAGAAATGATCTCCACTTAAATAATTTTTTATCTTTGTATATTTTGATTGATCATCGACCCCTAATTGTTAAAGCTTGGGCTAATTATATATTTGGATTTACTTAAACATGTTAGGTATAATTAAGTAAGATATGAAAGAAAATAAAACATGATGAGATTCATATATTATTTCTGTTAGGTCTGAGTTTTTGTGTTGTCCTTGACTTGTGTGCACTCTGTCTTGGCATCAAAAGATAAAGTTTGGTGATTTTGCTTAGACAAGACTACTCTCTTTCGACTGGATTAGTATCTGAAATAGTTTTATCCATGTTATAACATTATAATATGTTTGAGAAGTGGTGATGCTTCTGGAATTTTGGGTTCTTGCAGTTTAATGTTCTTACGTGAAATAAGATATCCATTTACATAATTTGCAGCCACGAGTAGAAAGCAAAGTGATACCTAAGAGCATGTATAAAATTACTTGTTTTCATGCAGATGATTGACTAACCACTCCCTACTGTTCTTTACTTTTTTATTTTTATCATCTTGATTATCGTCGCCCAATTCCCTCACCAACCTTCCTGGGGTTGGCCTAACACATTCCTATTGTATCTACATTATCCACAACTTTATACATATAGAAATATTAAATATATTTGAATTTTCTGTTAATCAAAAATAGAGATGCAATTTTGTTTTTATGTATTACAAAGATTTATAGAAACTTTTTGACTGATGAATATATGTTAACGTTGAAATAAAACTATAACATCTAGTGAATTTGCCAAAAACTATTTACAAATGTTAAACAACGAAAAATGCATGCTAGAAAATTAAATGAATTGAGATTCAAGCTCCTATATAATTGTTGTACAATTCAAACAAAAAAAGTATACACCATAATTGTTATATAAACTTGTTTTCTTGGCGTGTGGGTAACCACAACTCATCACACCAGGACTATATATACTCACAAATATATTCTCATGTAGCGGCCAAATTCATAACTCACAGTCCAAAGAAACAACAACCCACAAAAGAGTTATATAATCATCCGATGGCATCTACTGAGAACCCTGACCCAGAAACTGGCAAATCTGAACCGATTCCCGCATCGGCTACAACACCACCTCCCTCAGCCGCTAGTTTCCTAGATTGTCGTAAAATAGACGTTATAATAAGAGTTCTGCTTTTCTCCGCCACTCTGACTGCTCTTATAGTAATGGTGACCAGCGACCAGTGCCGGCCCGGAGGACAGGCCACCCAAGCCACCGCTTGGGGCACCACATTTTTTTTTTTAAGGTTTTCTTTTTTTGGAAAAAGGGCCCAATTTTAGAAAAAAAAAGAATTAAGCCCATAAAATGACAATATTTGGTAGAAACTAAAGCTTTTTCGAAAAA